TGCTTTCCACCTGTTGTCTATTCCATTTGCACAACAGCATGTGAAATTGATTGTCAATCAGTGTTGCTACCCAAGTGGACAGTTTGATTTCACAGAAGTGTGATTGACTTGGAGTTACACTGTGTTTAAGTGTTCCCTTTATTTTTTTGAGCAGTATATATTACCATAATCTAATAGATATCCTCAGAGTTCTAGAGAGTATCCTAAATGTCTACCTCTTCATACAATCTAGCTCCAGATTGTGCAGATCACTTACATCCTGGGAATATGCTCCCTCCTTCCTGGGAACCTGCTGGTTACTGTAATCCATCACATATGGACTTAAGAGGCTAGCTTTGTCGGCTGTGGCACCCATCTTATGAAACATTCTCTCTACCCCACCCAAAGCCAGATTAGGCTACATCCCTGTAAATATTCAGAAGTCCCTCAAGACTAATTATGACACCACATCCAGGGGTCTCGGAATCAGAGACATTGTAATACGATTTACTCTGTCCATGCCTTGTAGTTTGTATATTTGTATATTTTATAGTATGTATATTTTAATTTTTTATAATATTTAATCTTTCATAAAGATTTTTAAATATTTTATCATGATTGTTCTTATATATTTGTTGTTTTATTGTTGTTTGCTACACGGAGTCACTTCCTGATGATCAGTAAATAATTACCACCATCCATAGGTTTAAGACAGAATATACAGGTAGTCCTCGAGTTACGAATATAATGGAGCCTGCCCATTCCATCCATAACTCGAGAATTCATGGGAGTGCATCTCATACCTTGAATGAGATCATTCCCTGCTTTTGCCCATGCATTTGCTAATTTAATGAATGGGCGAATGCACAGCTCGTTAAGTACACATGAGGTATCTTGGGGTGGAGAAGGCCATGGGGGGCCTAGTGAGGGAACAGGCCACCTGCTTCAGACCATCCAAGGCCTCTCCTGTCCCATAGATCCCTCATTCTCCCTCCCCTGGGGTCCGTGCAATTGCTTGTGTGTCTCTCCCCCCAAATCCTGCTGGTCTTATGAAGATCTGCCTCCTTGCCAGCCTGTTTCTTTGCCTGCTCCCTTCTTTCTCATCAGCAAAGGGCTTGACAAAGCCTCTGATGGCGAGAAAGCCGGCTCATAAGGCCACCTACGGCCTTCAGAGGCTATTTTGTCATTGCTGGAGGCCTTGTCAAGCTACAGCTGTGGAACGCTGTATTTTCCTACATTCATCCTTACAGGGCTGCTTTCTCACCACAGAGGCCTTGTCAAGCTGATCTCTGGTGAGAAAGGAGGTCTGGAAGGCCGTGCATGTTGGTAAAGCACTTGAGGATTGCATCCCTACAGGCTTCAGCGGCCCTTTGCAAAAAGCCTTTGCTGGTAGGAACAGGGCTTCAGAGGGACGCGCCTATTCCAAGTTCCGCTGGTGCCAACAAAGGCTTTTTGCAAAGGGCCGCTGAAGCCTACAGGGCCGCAATCCTCAAGTGCTTTACCAACGTGCGTGATATCCCTTTAGGCTTCAGCAAGAAAATGGCAAACACAGGGAAGTCCTGAAGGACAGAAGCCTTCCCTCCATTTGCAAACGTCCAGGCCTCAATTCGCAGAAAATGGAGGCCTAAAATGCAAGATCACATGATGTTCTCTGCAAATGCAGGCAAAGAAACTACAACAGAGAGGAGATCTTTGCAAGATAAGTGAGTCTTCACAGGCGAAGTGCCTATGAAGACCCAGCAGGAGGAGGGGAATAGGCAGGGTGAATGTTGCAGAGCCTCTGTGGTCATTCATAACAGTGAACAACTGCCATGGTGCTGCAATATTCATAATTTCGGGCCCTGTTGGTAAACGCTAGGAGGGGCTTATTACATAACTTTGAATGTTCGCTAAAGGTACATTTGTAACCCAGGGAATACCTGTATGTGGAACTGAATTATTCTTAAGCAACGGAAAAGTGTTCTCAAGAAACTACATTAACTGGGGTACACAATCTAGTCACTGAGGCAGGGAACATATCTAAGTAGTGGACACATCAGTGGGGGATGAGAAATATTTACCTACATTCATCCCTATTTTATTCTGACTTCATCTGAAATTATAGTAAACTGCAGTATGATAAACATGTAACCTAGAGAGAAAAATAAAATCATTTTTTATATGCAGAAAGGTTTGGTGCACACTTTAGATAATCTTTCCATTCCTATGTTCCCTTAAAACTATTTCTGTGCCATGAAAATCTTTAGTTCTATAAATGCTATCTTTTCTACGTACCGAAAGTGCTCAGCAGATAACTGTTGTGAGCCACCCAGGGTCACTGAGAAGGAGTGGGCAACCATACACATTTTCTAAATAAATTTGCAAAATTCTTTTTGTTTTAGTCTCGAGCTCTATGTGGTTTACAAAAATTACATAGAATGCATGTAGTGCACATGTCCTTTAATAGTTTTTACAGAAGCTTCCACAAGACAATATGTATTAAGATTTTGCTAATAGGATAAAGAAAGCAGGACAACTATTAAAGTCTGTAATAGAGAGAAAGCAAGCCAAGAGTATGATATCTTAACTTATTTGATTGAAGTCAGTGAAATCCTTAGTTCAGAACTCTGAATAGCCAGTATACTCAATGCCAAACCATACAAAATGGCTAAGATTTGTCTTTTTTGTTCACTCCTGTTGTCCAGATTCTTCCATCCAAAACCTCCATAATCTGTTGCCATTACTATGTTGGCTTGACCTAACAGAAATTTCAGACTGCCCAACGACAGTCATCCATTTGCAGAACTAAGTCAGATTCACTACTAAACTTGCAACAACTGCAGTGATTGGTGCAATACATCATGATATTGGTGAAACAGAGACTTTCAGATTTGGGGGTTTACTTTGCTTCATTATTGCTTCATTCATATACTCAAAAAATTAGGAAAAATTACTTCTCCCCTCCCCCTAAATTTCCAGATTTCCCCCAACAAAAGTTGGTTGTGATATGTGATAAAAGTATAATTAATGCTGTTTTTTTTTTAATGGAAAAGGATACATAGTCGAGAAGAAAGATAAAACTTATGAATCGATGACATTAACATTTGAATGGATGTTATGATTATGAAACAATAGAATGATGCCATATAATTACTTATCATTACAAGTTTTATGATTAGTCATACGTGTTTTTCAATATCAAATATATCTGATTGTGAGTAGTTCTTTAGATTTGTGTATAACACACTAGTGTGTGGTTAGTTATATATAATGGCTGCCCACACTTGGAAAATAATTAGGCAAAAGGTCTTTGAATCCCTTATGAACATGAGATCAGCACTTACCTGCTATTCATTAAAGGTCATTATTTTAAAGCTTCTGAGCAATGCTAAAAAGTTGTAGTTGCTTTAAGAAATCCCCTCATTAAAATTAAAGCAATTCTGAAGTACAAGTTATTTTTGAAGGATAAACAGCTTGATTAGTTATGGCCTTGCTCTAAGGAAATTTGATTTAATAGTGACTATATTTGCTAAACTATGGTTCAGCACAATTGGAATGATGTTCAGGAACGCAAATAAAATGTTAGACTTAGATTAACATCTTTCTTGCTGGGTCCAGCTAGGAGAAGATTCTTGGCAAGTTTAATTTGTTTCAAATAATTTTCTTCAAATAAGAATTTGTATTTTGTTTAACCAGTTATTTTAAAATTTTGATCTAATATTGATTTGTTTCAATGTTAACTGAGATTTGTTTTAAACCAAGAGATTAATCCAAATTTATTTAAAAGTCAAGCTAAATTAGGTGAAAGTCATCCTTTGGGTACATTTAAAGAAGAAAGGCTCTGGGAAGAAAATGACACTATCAGAAAAATAATCTAAAATGTGCAGGCAGTCCATGGCTTGTAATCGGCATATAGTCTTAAACCCTTCAAATTTATGCCAGCAAAATTCATATTTAGAAATAAGATCAAGCACTTTTTAACTATAAAAATATATTTAATACTTTAAAAGGGCTATAGTTATTGCTGATAGTTTCCTTCCATTTTTTAGCCTCTGAAAACAGAAAAAACTAGTTTGATCTATCATAGTAGAAGTATTGTTGTTATATTTTCCTTAATATAGTGAGTAAATTATAAAGCTTTGAATGCTATGGAAAGTTTTATTGTCGTTGCTTGTTGAATTTTGAGTAGAAAATTTCAACTAATAATAACAATTAAAAATTATGAAGTTCTAGCTTTATTTTATATAAAAGAAGATAAATATCACGACCCAATGAATTTATTGAATTTAAAAGCAGCTAGCAATTGGGAACAGTTTTCAAATTGTACAATAGTTCTCCATTCAGTTTTTAAAATTATAAGGAACATGTTGAGAGGCATGGTAGCCATATTTTTAAAATACAGGTTATTAAACCATAGGATTAGCACTAGAGGAATTATTAGTTTTAAAAGGCCAGGCTTCCAAACCCTATATTTTATTGCTTCTCAGAATGTGTGCATTTTCAATTTTCAATTTTGTCTTTCCATTAAATGTAAGGTTTAGCACAGCCAACAATAAATGAGAGCTTCCAGTGTGTTTTTTTCAAACTTTGTAAGCCAATCTAAAAATCACATCACTAAGAGAAAAAGCATATCCTGGATTAAAACTTGGTTTGTGCTTGGATGGCAAACACAAGTTTGAATAAAGCATGCTGTAATATGTAGGTTGTTCCTTAACACCCCTTAACAATCTTAAGGATAAATTCTCCTTTCATATTACTGTTAATTATGCCTTTGATAGTAGTGAAACAGTAAGAGGACTCAATCCAAAGAATCTAATGTTTAAATACACATGAAAATATGTCTATTTCTTTCACATACTATTGTCAGAATTTTTTTTAAAGATTAAAATATAACTGGTAATTCACAGCTTTTTTTAAAAAAAAATATCTTGAGTGTAGGATCTGTATTTCCCAAGTGAATCTAATAAGAGGCCAGCATTAAGTTTATGTATTTTAAATTATATATCACTATTTCAAAAATAAAATAAAATAATGTATTCTAGGTTTGCAACCCACCAAAGGCTATTTGGCAACTGTGCAAGAACATTCTGCTGAAGTGCTAGAAAAACATGGTAAGTAGAATAGTTATACCTCGATTACTGTATTCCTAGCAGCAAAAATAACAGCACTTACCAAATCTAACTTATATAAATATTTATACAGGTATTTATGATCTTCAGTTGCTAAGTATCAATTATCATGTAATATACAAGTGTTTATGGAATGTTTATGGAATGTGAGTATTTTCCTGTAATAATTGTAAGAAGAGAATGATATTGTTTGATAGCAGCTCTACTTGAATGTTTATGCCAATTGTTTGTGGATAGAAATTGAGCCACTTTTATTTTAGTTTAACTATTCAGTGAAATTTCATAACACAAGAATGGATTGCATACATTTTGTATATCTAAAATGTATGGTCATCCATCTGTTATGCATTTTCTTCCAATAAATTTGTATTGGTATACTAAAAATATTCTTGCTTGTTTCCTTTGAATAATGCTAAAACTAATTTTATGGCTATTAGCTCTAACTTAAAGAGTTTTGGGCTACTTTTATTACAAAAAAACCCCATCAAGCTTCTTTGTAGTACAGTTTATTATATCTGAAAAAATGCATGCTGAAACTGAAACATAATGTTTGCTGAAGGGAAGTTTCTAATACATAGTTTTAAAGAATCATTTTAGTCTGTTTTTCTACATAAGAGGTATGGTTCTTATAAGTATTGTGTTTTCTACTAATATTTTTATATTGCTAGCTATTTATTTTTCACTAAAGACTTTATTATATGAGTCATTAAATGCTTCCCACTTACTTCCTTACAGTCACCTGAGGCAAAAGATATAAGACTACTAATTCAATTATACCTCTCTTCTCTAACCAAAATTTTGGATTCTAAATACAGCCTGTACCTTGAAAAAGTCTGTGCATGCAACTGCTGCTTCCAATCCATTGCAAACAAACAAAATTGTAGCCTTTCTAATTGGATTCCCATATATCTATAGCAAAATAAAAGACCCTGGCATTCTATTTATATAGGGACTCAATCAGATGCATATGAAAAAAAATATAAACAGAATATGAATGCATTTCCATTTTAATCCAAGGACTAGTATTATTCAGAAGCACTAACAGCTTCTTGGAGAATAAGGCTAGAAGCCACTAATAGTTTTATTCTTCATAAATGTGCCTAATATTTTAAAAACAGTTTGATTTGATGGTTCAAATATCTTTAAAAACTCCTAATAAAATAGCAAGTTACTGAATAATTGGAATTTAGCAGACAACATTTTAGAGAATTAGAAATTTAGAATTAAATTGGTAATAAGAGTTGAATTTAGCTTAATTTACCTTCCTTACCCTCTAATGTTTGCTATTATTTTAATTATTTTACTGTGTGTTGATAAATGTATTTATAACATTCTCCATAATCTACGGAAATGGATTATTAAAGCAGCAATATCTTTTACAAAGCTTACACAACTCTTCAGAAATTGCTCCAAACTACCTTCTCATGACTTCCAGTGCATAGTCTCTTTCCTTCATCCATTCAAAAACCTGAAGCCTTTGCTTGCACTTCAGTGTGTTATGATGCTTCTCTGTTATTGCACAGCCATAATTTGTGAATGCCTTAAGAAAATTTCTGGGATTTGAGCCAACTTAATTTTTAATTAAAGAAAAATTAAATAGTATTATCAAAGGACATATTTTACTCCATTTTACAATGTTGTCACTTTTGAGCTGTCCATAACTGTAGAGTTTGATAGCCTGAACAGACAATATTTTACAATTTTTTTTTCCAAATTTTATTGGTTTTTAAAAACAAACATAAACAAACAAAACATAAAAACATCAAGCTATCTTCCATAGGTGTACAAACAGTGTGCCGGTTGGTTTTCAAATTGTTTTGTGCTTCCATTTCGTAGTCTTCAATTACAATTACATTACGTATAATCTCATATTGTCAATCAAAAATTAAATACCTTAGTGTCATTATTAATCATTTGACTATACTTTTATTCATTCATGTTTACAAGATAACCATAATTTACTTAGATCTTATAACAGTTCATATTACCATCCCAAATCTATCCTAAAATCATTTTGTAGATATAATAAGAAAGAAGTACATCTTTGTATATTTATTATTTTCTAAAAGTCTACATAGTTCATTACTATAGTCTAACCATTGATAGAAAAGATCCCAAATTTTATAAAATAGTTTATCCTCTTGTTCTCTAATTTTAAATGTCAATCTACTCATTTCAGCGCATTCCAATATTTTCTTAATGATTTCCTCCTGTGATGGTATTTTCTCATTTTTCCAGTTTTTAGCAAATACAATCCTAGCCGCTGTTAATACATTTACAAACAGGTATTTCAAGTTTTTATTATATATTTCAGGTAAAATTCCCAATAAAAATATCTCTGGTTTCAAGTCTATATGTTTTTTTGTCATTTTTTCCAACCACATGTGGATTTTAGTCCAGTATCCGCACAAGTCCAGCACATATGGTAATATGAGGCAGGTGTCCAACATTTTTCAGATTTATTCTTGAACATTCTTGCTATTCTTGTCAGGGAAAATGCCACCTGTAAAACATCTTATACAAATTTTCTTTTTATGCTGTTGACATTGTCATTTTATAATTTTGAGACCACAATTTTTGCCATTTCTCTAAATCAATCCCATATCCAAAATTCTTCCCCCAAGCAATCATAGTTTCTTTAACTTGTTCTTCTTCTAGTTTAATTTCCAATAAATATCCATACAATTTTTTAATCACCTTTTCATCAGTACCTGTCAAAATCTTATCTAAGTCAGTCAATTTATCATAGAAACCTTCTGTTTTAGAATCTTTATCATACCTTGAATGTATTTGCGCATATGAAAACCAATTCATCTTTATACCTTGTTCCTCTAGTTTTTGCATAGATTTAAGTTCACCCTTTTCATTCAATATTTCACCATATCTAACTGTTTGTTCCTTTTTGTATATTATAGGATACAAAAATGCTTCAATAGTCGATAATCAGACTGGAATTTTCAAATAACATTGTCTTTTAATCTTCTCCCAGTTTAACCACAGAGACTCCCATATATAATGTCTTCTAAAATACCCCTGTGTTTTAGTTCCTTTATACCATAAAAAAGCATGCCACCCCAACAACAAATCATGTTCTTCTAATGTCAACAATCTAGTATTTCCTAGTGTTATCCATTCCTTAACCCACATCAGATTTGTAGCTTGGTAGTACAACTCCCAATTAGGCAAACCAAATCCTCCTCTAATTCTAGCATCTTGCAAAAGTTTTAACTTTATTCTCGCTTTCTTACCTTGCCATATATATTTCAACACAATTTTATTTAAATCTTCAAAGTAGTCTTTTCCAAGCCTAATTGGAATTGTTTGAAACAAATATAAAATTCTGGGTAATATATTCATCTTGATTATTGAAATTCTCCCTATTAGTGAGAGTTGTAAGTTTTCCCATTTCACCAAATCTAGCGCTATCTGCTGTTTAAGTTTAATATAATTATTCTCTTTTAATGTACTACATCTTGCTGTCAAATATATCCCCAAGTACTTGATCTTATTCGTGACCTGAATTTTCAGTAGGTCTGCCAGTTCTTCCTTTTGTCTTAATAGCATATTCTTTGTCAAAATCTTTGTCTTATCTTTATTTATTTTCAAACCAGCCACCTTTCCATATGTCTCTATCTTTTCTATCAATTTTGATGCTGTTTCTAAAGGGTCTTCTAAGATGAAAACCAGATCATCCGCAAATTCTTGCAACTTAAATTCTTCCTTTTTGATTTTCATTCCTTTTATATTCTTTTCATCTTTAATATTTCTGTTTAACACTTCCAAAGTTAATACAAACAACAAAGGTGATAGTGGGCACCTTTGTCTTGTTTCTTTTCTTATATTAATAGAGTCTGTCAGTTCTCCCTCTATCATTACCTTTGCCATTTGCTTATAGTATATAGCTTCTATTGCTTGAATAAATTTTCTAGCAAAACCCATCTGTTCCAACAGTAATAACATGAAACGCCAATTCACATTATCAAATGCCTTCTGTGCATTTTCAGGAGAAATATAAGAGCCATTTGTTTTTCAGGATGTGCCTCATAGTATTCCAAGGTGTCCAAGATTACTCTCATATTGTCTTTAATTTGTCTCTTTGGCAGAAATCCATTTTGATTAGGATGGATAAAATTATTTAAATATTTTTTAAGTCTTTCTGCCAATATTGAAGCAAAGATTTTATAATCTGCGTTTAGTAGAGAAATGGGTCTATAGTTCTTAATTTGTGATGAGTCGGCCTCCTCTTTTGGAATAAGCGTAATATAGGCTTCTGATCATGATTTAGGTATCTTCTTCTTTAACATAACTTCATTCATAACTTCTAGCAATGGAAGATTCAACGATTCTTGTAATGTTTTATAAAATTCTGCCGGAAGTCCATCTGGGCCTGGTGCCTTTCCATTATTTTGCTTCTTGAGTGCTTCAGTTAACTCCATCATCGTTATATTGCTTTCTAACATTTTTTCAGTGTCTTTAGGTATCTGAGGTAAATTAGCATTCTGTAAATACTGCTTAACTCTTTCCTCATCAATATTCTCTTGCATATATAATTTCCCACAGAAGTCTCAAATGATTTCCTTCTTCTCTTTGCTACCATGGCAAATTTGGCCTTGGTCATCTATTAATTGCAATATTTTCCTTGATTCTTTCTCCTTTCTCAATTTATATGCTAACCATCTACCTGGTTTGTTTGCGTCTTCAAAGTAGTTCTGTTTAGCACCTCTAATTTTCTGTGCTAATTCTTCTTTTTCTATTTGACCCATTTTGTGTTTAATTATATCTATTTTTAGCTTGATGTCCTTTTTCTGTGGCATTTTCTGTAGCTCTTTTTCAAGTCTTCTATGCTCGTCCTCTAGGCCCTTAGAGGCTAGCCTTTTCATAGTATTCCTTTTCCTTGTATAGTCTATTATCAAGCCTCTAACATATGCCTTCATTGTATCCCATACATTCTGAATTGATGTATCTTCTTTTTTGTTTTCTCTAAAAAAAAAAAGCCAATTCTTTCTCCATCCACTGTGTGAAGTCTTTTTCCTTTAAAATAGTATTATTTAACGTCCATCTAGATCTTCTTTTTTGTCCTTTCCATTTAATTGTCATTGGATTGTGATCTGCCCAAGTACTTGTTTCAATATTTA